ATCAATTAGCAAGGGTGATGCTCATTTGCAAATTAAACTGTCCGGCGTCTTGTCAAGCACAAACCTCAAGAGCCAGGCTGTGCCAGTTTATTTTGTATAAGAAAATGGTCACTTGGGCAAGCACTATTTTGGGCCAGATTCGATCTGAGTCCGAAGGCGCGTATATATTAGAGTGGACAATTGCGATTACTCCTTGCTCCATGATTAGTCGCATGCATGCGGTGCTCAGCGTAAACAATATTTGGTTATAACAACAGACACTTGGATTGGCACTCGGTGTTTCTATAAAAAATAGTCTGAAAGGAATTATCCTAAAACTTTTGTTACATTTTGAAATTTTCATGGCTTTTAGCTCAGTTGGGTCGTTATCATATACATATATATTGTGAAGTGTATTTCGCAAACCTTATTTCATGATATATATGGCCACGAGGTGCTCACTTGATAATTTTATGAGATGTAATTAATTCTTCAGTTCAAGGACACCATTTCACTTTTAATACTGCGACACAAAGTTGTACCGATCACGGGTATTTCAGACGACCTATCACACTTCGTTACAAAATTTTTTACCGTATAAATAGATCAGCTTGAACTTTAGAATTTTACTTAAACACGAAGAAAGAACAAGGAAATACAGTATAGTTCTAAATTAGAAGCTGATCTATTTACAGGTATGTACCAACAAGCTCAACTCTTTACTCTTGTACTTAGGTAGAATATATTTTATTGGTAAACAAAGGGATGTTGAGTCGTATGAACACGACGTTATGTATGTTAATGTAGATCTTCTACTCTTGCGTTGAAATTAAATAACTAAATTTAATAGTTTTGGTACCTAAAAACAAAAGTAAATTGCACGGACGGTCGAAGAAATTATAAAGTTAATTGTTTCACGGCGTAAATAGCGTATATTGCCAGAACAACGCGGAAAATATATTCTTAATCGAGCGGTTCAAACCGGTTCGAACCGGTTTGAACCGTTATTTTTTGCTCCCCGGAACTGAACCGGAACCGAACCGAAAGCCGTGAACCCGAACCGGAACCGAACCGATAAAAATTTCGGTTCGACACCCTGGTTCTAACCGTCTCAAAAGAGAGAACGCGCGAGCTTGAGCTGGTTTAAAAAAAAAGGCATCCAAAGAAAAGAGGCGGCACGCTGTGTTCTTTGTTATTATGCGTCTAATTTAAAGTGACCATATTCCTTGGGCCCCAAAGCGGGACGCGTATCGGGGGGGGGGGGGGGGAAGGGGGGGTTATTGTAATCATACCTTTCATTATTTCGTATACACCGTGTGCATTTCTTTTTCTTGCTATTTGCGTACTTTGTGGCTTGCAGCTATCTAATACATTTGGTTGGAATATTCCTTTGGTATTAATGTATTTATTTTTATGTACTATGTCCATAGTACTGTTCACATGTCATACGCCAATTAATCTTCAGCATCTTCTCTGTCGAGCATATCTTGTTCCTTGATCAGAGGAAGCACCCTCTCACCGGTGCGATCCTTTCGTTTAACCGAATCTTTCACCTATCCGCGGTTCGAGGAGCAAAAGCGGGACAAACGGCGTCCCACAAGCACGCTGGTGGGACAGCGGGACCCCGGCCGGAAAAGCGAGACCTGTCCCGCCTAAATCGGGACGTCTGGTCACTTTAGTCTAATTGCAAATTGTTGTGCGTATGTTTATACAGCCGGAAGTTAGTCTGCCTTAGTGGGCGTTTGGTGTCTCAGCTGTAGATGATCAATTTAGCAAGTGCGGTACAACAGCAAAGCTGGGGTCTTTAACGTGCACCACGCGGTAGTTATACACGACCGCACGCCGGTACGATGCTCTTCCAGATCGAAACGGGCAGGGGCGGGATGGTTTCTGCAGCGCGAGCTTTCGCTCCACGTGCTCCAAGCTGGTGTGTGCTAGACCATGCACGCGGCCACCGACCTCTCCCCCCCCCCTTGTGCGCCTAATTTATATACAGGTATAAGTATTTGAAGATCGACGATGGACGTCGATCTTCAAATACTCGAGGTAATGTAACGTAATAACATTATATAAATAATAAACTTGTTGAAGCACTGAAAGACTCAATTTTTCAAATCTTGGATGGTAATATGGCGGTAGCCTATTACATTTACTGTTGGATTGTAATATGGCGGTAGCCTATTGTACTTACTGTTGATGAAGAGCAATATCAGGTGACGAGGTAATGATTAAATGATGAGGCTCTATAAGGACGACGACATTAGTGGGTGTCGAACCACAACATACAGTGCCAGACTTGTTTCAAGTCTCGTGTACCCAAAGACTTTCCTCACCCGCAACAGAATACGGTAGAATCAATGAGGATGCTGCTTTACAACTGTACGTGGAACAGGAAAACTACACTGTGCAGAAGTGCGGCTTATTCGTTAGTATGAGGGACGAATTTCTAGCAGCATTCCCTGATTGACTACTTGGAATATGGCCTCGTTGACGTAAAGTGTCCCCGTTCCAAAAGATTCTTGAAGCATACTTAAACCACAAAGGAGTATGAGGCGAAAAATAAGAAAAAGGAGCCTAGTGTGAAAGGTCCAAATCACCACCATAGCTTCTACTATCAAATACAAGGGCAGTTACACAATACACAAAGAGAGTTTTGTGATTTAGTTATAATTACACTCAAGGGCATTGATATCCAACGTATTCAGAGGGATGACACCTTTTGGTCAACCAACATAGAAGCCTTTTCTACTCAAGTTTTACATGGAAGGCCCGACTTTCGCTGAAATTCCTCACGTAGACAAGTTGTCTGACCGAATAAACTGCCATTACTCCCGATCTGGGAATCTCTCGATCTTCGTTCGTAGGCCATAGTATCATGAGATTGAGTGGTGCGGCTCTTCGTCCGCCGAATATTGCTTCGGCGGGTGTTTTTGGCGAGTAAAACGAGACCGTTGCGTGCTGCTGGAACAAGAACCTGGCGATTCTTCACTAAACTGCTCCTTCCATAAGCTTCAAAAGGGCTTTTTTCCGTTTCGCACACCATCTGTTCTGCTAGCCCGTTAGCTGCAGGATGCTATAGTGCACTAATTTGATGCCTGATGCCGGTTTTTTTTCTTCAAACACTTGTTTATTTTATTTGAAGCAAGATTTGGCGCGTTTTCAGAGAAAAGTATTTTTGGTAGGGCAAAAGTAGGCAAGAGAGACCGTAGAACGTCAATACGTGTTTGGACATCGTGGCAGGCATCGTGTAAACTTCCAGCCACTTAGAGTACGTAACAACCATGACTCCGCAGATGCGGATACGTTTCGCCACCCGTCGACTGTATAGTGGATAGTTTTCAGTTATTGTTCATGATGGCGTTGGACTCAAGGAAGTCTTCGAGTCTTTCCACAAAGTTAGCCCAGGTGCCAGGACTTTTGTCGAAAGCGGTAAGTGTTCGAAACGTCGACAACGTCAGTAGCCACGTGTTGTGCTTGACAGTGGACACTTACCATTCCCTGAGAAGAAACTTGCTTGTTCGTCTGCCACGAGTCGTTCGATATCAGGTCATCACCGCAACACCATCTCCCGACAAAACTGGTCTTCATTGTCCGCATGTCCATAGTTAGCAATCACGTGAACTTTAAATTCCCGAACGCTCATAACTTGCCGTCGCTAAACGCCATTCATTCATAGCATCTTCATTGCAAATACACGTCTTCCAATTTCTTCTGATGGTTTTCATCATATTCCTCATAACCTGTACTTACAACATTATGTGTGTGGTACTTCCGAAAATATTTCAACGGCGTTTGTTTTCTGGGAACTATAATGTAACAACCTTTACAACATCTTCCGGACCTCGCGAAACACAATATTTCGTGACGTTATTTTAGTCTTCATTAAAATGGTGAGGTAAGTACCGTAAATCGCGAAGCAGTTTACGTGACGTTTGCTTCCACTGGTGTCTTGGAAGGTTGAGTCTACTGAGCGTGCATTCCTGCAGAAGAAATTTTCATTGATATAGTATTAACACGTCAATCAACATTTGATTCCTTCTTGGTAAGGTTTATTGCAAAAACCTGTTTCAACTGCGGAATCGCATCTCCCTATATCAGAGAACAATTTATACCCAGCCTGACATTCTCGCATACATCTGTTCGCTGGGCCGCTACTTGAGCCAGCTGAGCACAGCTGGCGGCGGCGCGAGCAAGGCCACGAGGGGAACGTGATGGTGCTCGAGCCATCCCACTGTGAACCAATGTCTCGGCCACCCCACGGGTGCGTATCGCCATCTATTGGTTGAACTAACGCCTTGTTCAAGATGGCTGCCTTGGGACCGCAGCCTTAAGATGAGGCGTAAAGAAAAAAGATTGAAATTTTTATATATGATTAATAATGGCTCATTGCAGATAGATAAAGCAGCCTACCTAGTTCCTGACGAGTCGAGAATAACTCGGAACAAACACAGTCGCGCACTTCATCAGCCCCAGTTCTTCAAGGACTGTTTCAGATACTCATTCTTTCCACAAACCATAAGTGACTGGAATCCTCTTTCGGAGCAAGCCGTGGTATGCCAATCACTTGAAGCTTTTTCTTCTTGTATAGCATCTTGCAAAATGTGAAATAAAATGAGTTTTTTTTTATCGTTTCCCACCAACGCATCATAGCCCATGACGGATCTAATTTTTTATCTTTCATTGTCAAAGCATTTTTTGTGATTATTTGGTGATATCTTTTATAGTACCTTTTCAAGTGTGTGCTGCTCTTGTTGTTGTTATTTTCTTTGTACACTTGTATACCCACCCTATCATAGTCTCAATAGAGACTGGGGGGGGGGAAGGAATCTGGAGAGCCTGGAGCTAGGGAAGTGCAGTGGCTAGGGAAAAGAGGGAATTGAAGAAGCAGGACCAAGAGATGGGAAAACGCGGGACTGTGTGTATGTGGAGGATAGCGATTAGATGTGGCTTTGGATGTGGTGACCAATAAACGGAGTGTTAACCCTAACAGTCTTCAATATTAGAGTTGGTCACAACACTTCTACGGATCTTATAGTGCATTTATTAGAATTCTCTATATCAAAAAACAAATATTCACACACAAGTACACTGTAGCTCGTCATACCACAGGCAAGCAATGGTCATACACGCATGGTGTCAATAAATGCAGAAGGAAACACATCTCAGATACCAAGAAAAAATGACTCGCATATCACAGATCCTGACATACAGAAAAAAAAAATCCAACTCGTAACACATAGACAGTGTGCTAACTAATAAGTGCTAAAAAATAAGCTCTCTATATAAAAAGGTTTTTCACTCCAACAAATAAAAATTTCCCGAGCAATAAAAAGAAACTGCACCACCATATCCCTCCCAGTAAACATCTGCAAGTTAGTATCCGCTGATATAGGAGAATCAAATAATGCCGAGATAAAAATGTACAGAACATCTAAAAGACAACAGCATCAATAGGATGCTCCTCACCACTAAAACAATGAAGATTCGAACCTGCAATGACGTTAACAAAGAAAAAATCCCCAATACTTCAAAATAAAATCAAACCAGCTCGGATCACTTCTTTTCTACCATGCTGGTGCTGCTGAAAGCAGTATACAATTCTGAATGTACCACCGCAAAACATGAAATGACACACGATAATTGATGCATGCACGCAAACACACTCCAGTGTAAAAATGTACATACACATGGCATCCCTGTGCAGAATCAACATGGGAATGAGCAGATCAGAACAGTCATACAGCCTATAGCAACATGAACTTGCATGAGCCGGGCACTTGGCGTTGCTGGAGGCTGCGCACACCTTTGTACTCGAGGGAAACAATCACCAGCCTGGTTTAGAGCCATGTCAGTCCGCCAATGCACAAATTGACCTTTCATTCCATGAGCTTTTGTAACAGCATGGTCTTCAATGAACGAAGGGTCAATTCTTCCCTCATATGCATGTTTTACCCAAATTGCACGCGTTTCTGAACAAGGATTTCAAACCTGCCATTCAATTTTAGTTACCTCTTCCGGCACAAAGGAGGCTAAATGATTAGTGGCCCAGTTCTTCCGGGTCATTAGGATGGTCCTCACTGAAAAAGGCCTTCCACCTATCTGAGGATTTCTCAAGATTCACAATATTTCCAAAAGCTAATGGAATGCTTAGAAAACTAGCTGTTAATCAGCAACTGGAAAAAGAAAAAAAACAAAACAATATGGGAGTATAATAAACCGAGGTACAGCTAATTAAAATTATTTTTCATAGACCTAGTTTAGAGGAAGCTTTAACCCCTTGCCTACTCATTTTTTTTCTTTAAAGATTGTACAGAAAGCTTTATTTAAATCAAGCGATTTGCGTCAAAATAAAGAAAAACGTTTCCTTGGCTTTCAGGCGTAGTCCCGTGCTCTATACCAGGACTTCTGGTCGTCTCCTCTTCTTCAGTAGTTCTTCACAGTATGATAGAAATCGAGAGATTAGCAGAAACCTCACATAGGACATCGTTTTGCCGAAAATTGGGGTCTCCACTATGGACCTCTTGGACCAGTTCATTTTTACTGTGTGTTTTTTCACTTGCGTCATAATGATGCTCAAGGCAAAGTATGCCTTTATCTCATTCGGAGTGGTGTCAAACCATTGCTCCTCATAGCATTTCTTGGGACGATCCTCGTCACCCATCTTTTGTTCAGCGTAGCGATTTGTCTCAGCAGAGACAGACGCCCAAAAATCATGACTTGCAAACACTGAAAAGGTCGACAAGGCGCTTGTCTTCTCACCAAGACTGCGTTGAACCCTTGCTGACACACCTGCGGTTTCTACAAAGGTGAACTGAGCAGGCTGGTTGTCCCTCTACTCCCAGTTCCACTGACGTGCAGACGCCGAAGTCGATGAAATGCTTCCAGGATTCGCATCGTTTTCAACACTTTTCTCACTGTCCGTTGAACTCTCATCGGATTCCGAGTAATCGGAAAGGCAGCAGGATTCGTCATCAGAAATACTGGCGCATTCATCACTTTCAAAAAGAAGTCTTTGTATATCTTCGTCCGCCAAAGCAGACCTCCGCGCCGAAGACATGTTTTTGGCGCGCTTGCTTACATTAGCGCACTTTTTTTTTGTCAATGGAGCGTCCTCTCTCTGTCAAAAGGCAAAGCAAACAAGAAAAGAACCCAAGGTAAACAGGAGCAACAGGGGTAGTGCTGCCATCTGCCGCAGAGCTCACAAAACAAGCTCTGAAACCGAAACACGAGTCGCACTCGTGGTCGGGTCTTATGGTCCGTAAATGGCGGCACGAGTGACACTCGCTATTAGTAGGCAAGGGGTTAATGGGGGACGTGGCCTTGGAAATCAGAATTTTCAGAAAAAGCTTTTTTTTCAAAAATGATATGTTTATTAACTTCAAAAGAATGGTTTCAAAAACTTTTATTTATAAACATGCAGGATTTATCTCGCAATAAATTGTTGGGAATGCCGGCAGCCCTCTGAGTCGGCAGGAAACAAGTTTTTTATGTTTTTGATATACCGTTCTGCTCCATACTCGTAGCCAGAACATCTCACCCCCATTGGAAACACCATTTACTCTAGATTTAGCCTGTAGAAGCTTTCCAAGGTTAAAAGTATTAATGAGAACATAAAAGAATGCGGAAAATTTGGCATGAGCTATCTTATTGGTTGAGAAGGGATTGATCCTGCTCAATGACGTGATATTGTGCCACCTTCACTAACACGCTTTTGACACTATCTTCAGATCATATTACTGCTTTGCTCTTCTTCCTTAGAATGACGTGCATCTTAGTTGTCAGCAGTTTATTTGTCGAGGAAAGCCTGCTACCAAACTTAGCGCGCCTACGAACGACACAAACTGGTAGCCATTTCCAGGGGAACACCAAAGTCTTAAAGAGGAAAGTGCTAACAATGCTTCAGGTGAATTTTGTGTATCTGGGACTTGAAATGCATTTTTTTCAGTTTCACTTTTTGGCTAAAAAGGTGGTATGAGGAAATATACAATTTGACATTTTGAAAGTTTAAAGACATCTATTAGTGGGGTCCTGGACTCAACTTTCTAGGAACAAGTTAAGCTACTCATCATCTGAAAGAGCTGACTTTTCCGTGATGAAAAATAAATGTTTTAAAATACCAAAACTTGCAAAACATTTTTTCTTTTGGATGGTATTGTTTTTCTAGAGAATTGCATTTTCCACAATTAAATTTTACCTTAACTTGCACTATGGGTATTCTACTTTACATTAGAACAAAAATCTTGCGAATTGCTATTATTTATTTATTTTAATACATTTTACAACAAAGTAATTTTTTACTGAAGCTTATTAAGCATAGCATGTTGTAGAATTGGCCTACAAGACTAAAAGTTTAGATGTCATCATTCCTAATGGGGGTTCAATTCACCCTGAAAGTTTGAATCAATTTGCAGGAACAATTCAAAAGTTGACCCTCCCAGGCCATGTCCCCCCTTAAGGTGTCGTACAGTTTCTGTTAAAACACAATATCAAGTTTGTTGAAATCCATGCCACGACTTACACTTTTAACGCACATCGGGAGACCAAATTCTATTCTGTGAAGAGGGTTAACTTCAAAATAATAGTTTTCAAAAAGATCCGCCTTACATTTCCTAATCCCGAGAAAAATACCAAAGACCCAGTTGCCATGCCAAAACTGCTCAACCCATCGACGAGACAGAGGAATACAGGGGCTTCTGAAATACACAGTCAAACCTGAGGTTTTCAAAGCGTCCACTAGCATACCGTGCACTTTTACCACAATAAAATAACGCAACATAATAACAGCATCCCCATGTCGTGCACATGCTCCTCACTTTCGCAGCACAAAACTTTGTAAGGACACCCAACCAGACAGCAAAGCCTCTCCCATCAAAACACATTGCACGGGTTCTTGCTTCTCAAGATGAAACAAACAAGCGACCATAGCGTAGAAAGGCAGAATCATCAAAATACTGGCTACTCTAGAGCATCCACAACTAAATGACTTGCATCAAATAAAAATCAGCTAGAAAGAGCCGTAGAAACCAACTAGACTAGAAAATCAAAATGCTACAACCAGCCCGAGGAGCCGGTTTCCATGAGCACGGCGAGCGGAGCTCCAGCCAAAACCTCCATGGTTTGGCTGGAGGCGTGCAGGCTCCGAGCAGCTGGAGGAGCGCAGAGAACCCTGGCACCGCCCCACCAAAAGTGCCCCACAAGTGTCCAGTGGAAAAGTTCTCTACCGCGACTACAACCGACGTGCATAGAGTGCGTGCCCCGAGGTCCATATGGGACCGGGGACGGTACGTGTCCAAACTTGGCCCACTGAGCATCCTCCGAATAAGAGAAAAACAACATCTCCCCGCATTTCCTCGCAAGCTCAATACCCGAGAACGAAAACACTATGTGTCTCCTAGTTTCTTAAAGCTCAGGAATCACTGACTAATGCTACGAGCCCTCTTCGGAGGGCCGTTCTGTCCAGATGCGGGTTCGGTGGAAGCTCCACAGAGCCCTGGCGAGGCAAACGAGGTTTGGTGCTTGCGAGGTGTCCAACGAAGAATGGAATTGGAGGAGACGGGACAAACTGCACCTTTCAAATGGCATTCCAGTTCACCTTCGGCCCTCGCGAGAAGGAATGTTTAGTTGGCATCCCAAGAAGCGTCAGGTCCGAGGTCCCATTGTCTCCCAGTCCCCAGTTTGGGTATGCCTGCTCCCCTTCTCTTCCGAGCGCTTTGTCTCCTCGGAGGCAGGAGCGTCCGTTTGTCCCATATCTCAACGACAGTCAATCGTCAGATCTGCGCCAACGTGCGGCGGCAAACAACACGGCGATGGCGGCAAACAATCAGAATTGCCGCTAAGGCTCTCGAGGTCGCACAATCGCCTAGGAGATGAAACCCTCAAAAATCAAACAATTTGTAAAAAGGAACACAAAAACAGCCATTCAATTTTAGTGTGTTCCTTCTAAAAAGAAGCCATATACGAAACAAAAAAGGCCAATTTTCCGCGATTGATTTCCATTTTGGTCAACAAAGCAAACGCGAGGTTTCGAATGCTCGTAGCATAGACACAAGGACGACGGATGAGTGCGGAGTCGACTCGAGCGAAATGCACCGAGAAGGAATGCAGTGTCCAAAGCCTCGCTTCCGCGACCCACAATTTGTGGTCGTTGCGGGAGATGGACCTTGGCCGTACCCGACTTTGCCCCCCTTCCCCGCTATGAAACAGTTGCCACCGACGCCGGCGGCACGTGCATGGTGCGACCCGCTGAGCGGACGTGCGGGCCCCAAACCCTTCGGAGCGGGAAGGAAGGGTGCGGGAGCGCCGCGGAGGTCTCAGGCGACGACGAGCGGTTCGTCATCCGAGAAGCCCCGGATGATGGGGTCGTCGTCGTCCTCGTCATCCGCCAGCCCCCCGTTGTCTGCACCCGTGCTGAAGGTGGTAGCTCCTGACCGGGTGTCGTAGTGGGTGTTGGCAAATGAGACGAAGCTGCGCTGCAGCCGCCGGTGGCGCACCACCAGAAATGCTAGGACCAGGCCCAGGGCCACCAGCACTGCCAGTGCACCGACCACCGCCCCCACCAGGCCACCTGTGCCCACGGACAGCGGCCCTGTGGACAGCCAGGACGGCACATGGTTCGCACGCAGCTCCTCCAAGGTAAAGTTGACGCGTCTCCGGGGGGCCATTTTCGCAAAGGCATTGAAAGCCCGCATACTACTAGCTCCAAAAGTGCAGATGGGACCACCAGCAATGGAAGTGGCATTTGACTTTTTCTAGCATGCAACACGTTGATTTAAAGCAGCCAGTGACTCTTTTGAAGCAGATCCCAACACGCGTTAGCGCATCGCTCAAAAATTTAACGATTGCATCGCTAAATGAGTCAATTTTGGATAAAAATTGACGGTTCATCTTTGATTTTGAAGTTTATTAGTTTTTATCTTCCGCAGTTACAATACATATAAATAATCGTAATCGTACATATAAATAATTGGAATGCAGCCACGGGCATCGTCCGCTTAGCCGACCAAGGTTAACATTCCTCATTTATAATTTATTGTGTATCCAGTTATAAATATTGGATATACAAAAATATGTTAAATTTAGCTCGAGTTGAAATTTCCTGGCAGCTCTACTAATTGCGAAGTTGCGACAAATGGGAGCCCGCCAAATAGAACACCCTAGAGCTGCTAAATACAGCATAGTTGGCGGAGACCGCAATCACCGCCGCACTTACAGACGCGCCTGCATGGGACCTCTACACAGCATAAGCGATACAACACAAAAATAAAAAAGAAGAAATGAAAAAAAAAACCCAGAAATGTGAGATGCATAAAAAAAATCATAAAAAAGTTAAGCAAGCAACAAAAAAAAAAAAGCTCACTAAATTCAGACAACAAAAAAGAAAGGCAAAAAAAAAAAACGAAAAGAAAAAACGGGCAAAGCAATAACGGCAAAAGAAAAAGGTAAACAAACATAAAGCATTCGAAGTAAGATTGCACAACCGTTGTCGACGCACTCAACTTGCTGAAGACTTTTTTTTTAAACTTTATTTTGGGGCAAGGAGTCGCGCAGCATCAGCAGTGTTCAGGGAAAGGGCGCAGGCTACCATTCTGACAGCGAGCACTCCCTCCTCTCTCTACGCGTGCCCACGTGCCCTTCACTTGCTTTTGCTATCTTCCACTTTTTAGGGGCGAAGCTCCTTAGGGTCTAGCCTTGTCCATTTGTCCGGCATCCGTGCTCACATCGATTGCACTGCAACCAAGATCGGCCCACTTTAAAAAAAAAAAAAAAAGTATGCCCGCACGGCGGTTTGAACTCAGGACCGCTTGCTTACAAGGCAGACGTCTTAACCACTACGCTACACTCCAACGTTGCATGTAGCCGCTCAGCGTCTATACAGGAGAGGGTGCTGCGACCACGATCCATACCACACATTCTCTTTCTGACATGGACCGTTGACTTAGGCGGTTCAGATGCGTTCCCACGGCTTCTAGCGGATCCAAGATGATCTGTTAGAAGAACCACTGGCTCTGCATTTCACCGACCATAAAGCAGCAATAATGAAGTCGAAACGCAACCCGGAACTCAGCACTACCTATGAGCAATAAAAAAAAAAAATCAGCACCATCAGCACTACCTATGAACAATAAAATCAGTACCATCAGTACCCACCAGAGCTTCGCCCCAATCAACATCATTCACCACGTGGAGATGCGGCCCCTTTCTTTTTTTGACGGTTCATTGTATTTTTTTTTCCACAACTGCTCTTTCGTTGTGTATCTTCCAGCCTGGATGCTGGTTTGGAGGTCTGCTAGCCATGTAAGGCAAGCGATGTGATGTGCTTGCCACTGGCGCAATCGGATCGTGGGAAAAGCAACGGGCGGCCGGGCTTCGTTCGCTATATCGAGTGTCCCTGCCACGAGAGTTGGATACAAAAAGACAACGCTCCTGTACTATTACACTTGATTTTCAAGGGGATGTTTGGACTGTTCGATATAAACAATATTTTGAAATGCCCGAGTGTGATATAACCGGACTCAACTGTATATTGCTAATATGCCCGTCCTGTCACCATATGAAAATGACCCCATCGTGCATCCTTACGAGGCTAAAAACATTCTACACTTAAAGAATAAAGTATGTGGGCTATGAAAGGTGTTTTTTCTATTATATTTTCTACGCGGGCAGCTTTTATCGGGCACTTGTTCTCTGGCGTCTCCTTATTTTCAAAGGTTTCGAGCCTTTGGGTGATGTATTGAACGCAGAACAAGGATCTTCGCACATATTTATGAGCACAAAGAATAAAGCGGTACTTATCCCAGCTCAAAATTCTCATTAGATCCAATTGAATTTTTAACTTTTTTTAACTGGAACAAATGGGTTTTATTGGGTTCCAATTGGAAGATGCACTAGCCAATGGGTCTCACCAATTGGAATAATTTTTCTAGTTGGAACCTGAAGGGGTTCCGATTGGTTCCTATTGGTTTCCATTGGCAGTGACTAATTGGTTGTCCGAAAACCTAATTGGTGCCAATTGGAAATTCCAATTGGAATCTAACAGGAATTTTTAACAGGGATTTATTGCAAATTGGATTATATAACGTGGCTTTCAATTTATTTTGATTGTCTATATGCACAGGGAGTTACTGATCCAGTGTTACTGCATAGTTCTTGCCATCTCTCTTGGTTTTCCACATATCCTTCGTTCGTTTGGCATGAATATCCCTCACGCTAAAAAGCGCCGGCGTCGTATTCGCGCTAACAATGTCCGACAGTGCACATAGACACATGTGCAAAGTCGTTTTAGAACTGTTTTTAATAAAATGAATTTGAAAAAAGGACGCTGTCACTGACCAATTACCTTGTCTGCGTGATTGAGAAACATTCCAAGCTACCTAGTATGTACAAACTGTTAGCGATATTTGCTCTTATAACCAAGCGCAGGGGGAAACTACAATAACTTTTTACCATAGAAATATATTACTGGAAGTAAATTTTTGACTGGTTGCTGTCCACTTCAATTTGTAACAGTATACTAGCACCAGATGAACCTCTAGCATACATTATGATAACTCTACGAAGTCAACCACCAGGGTGTGAACATATTACCTGAGAGATATACAGTAATCCCTCGTCCTAACAAACTCTTTCTTTCAAATTATCGCTTTTATCGAAGTACAACGTTGTCTTGACCGAAATGCAGGCATTTTGAACACGATTATTCGAAGTGTATCGGCGGCCAACCACGAAAGCACGCAAGCGTACACGGAGGTGCATGCAGAGCTTTTCGTTCCCTTCTCCGCCGAGGTAAAGGGCAAACTGGGAAAATGGCAAACAAGCAAGGGGCTCACCGGCCAGAACTCCCACCGACAGCTGGGCAGACAGGGCACTCTGGAAGCCGTGCTCGTCCGTCATTCGCACGGCCACGTGGTAGGTGTGGCCCCCGGGCACGCTGGGGATCGTCAGGGGCGGCTGCGACGCATTGTACGCCTCCGCCTCGGCCATGTCCTCCCGCCTTGACAGCAGCACCATGTAAGCCACCCTGCACGGGAGGGGCCCCGACTCCTCCGCACACTCGCCGGTACCCTTGCACTACAACTATAGGCAGTTCTTGCCCCCGTTACGATGCAGACGAGCTACAATAAGACTCACTCTTATATTTCTACGCCGCCGATATTCGGCTCATATTTGAGCCCCCCAAAAGGCGGCTCAAAGTTATCTTTTATCCCCTTAAAGACCGACGACCAGTTCGGGCTTTCCATGTTTCCCCGCTTCCCCCTCTCCCCCTTCTACACTGTCCACCATTACCTGTTTCCTCCTCCCCCATAGTGAGGGGGATCTCAAATCTGGTGGTTGGCCTTAAAAGGGGTTAGACCAAACATAAAATGTGAGATAACTATACTGCTAGGACCCATTGTACGTTCCTATATATTTTCGCTAAAATTTGTTCAGTAAATGGCACGAAAGTTTCGCAGATAAATCGATTCATGTGCGGAGCCCTCGGATCCACCGCATTTGCAGAGGCGGCAACGTTTGCCGGGTTGGTGACGCACCTCGCCCAGTGCGCGGCATCCCCTCACACTCCCAGACGAGGCTCTCTTGGCGCCTCACGCCTCAGCTTTCTCGTTAGCGTAGCAGCTTGGGCGTGTTGGTTGCACATGATTACACACACCACAGCGCACTATAACAAACAACACTCGCACCTTACGCACGAAAAATAAAGCAAAATTCAAACAAACCGCGCTGACTGACAACTCTTTTTATATAACTTTGTCTTCTTCAACCTCTAGCACCACCGATTTTCCCAAATCACGCGGCTTGTTTGAATTTTGCTTCATTTTTCGTGCGTAAGGTGCGAGCGTTGTTTGTTATAGTGCGCTGTGGTGTGTGTAATCAGCTTTCTCGTTTGCCTTTTGCGTTTCGAGCGTGCGCTTTTGAGAAGACGACGTATTCGGTATTGCCCGCTTCGTTGGAGTCTTAGAGACCGATTGCAGCGGCAACGAGTGATTGTCATCGAGAGATGCTGAAAGCTGGTCATTTTGACTTGGACCCCGCAGGCAATCAGCTCCAACGACAACGAGATTGTAACGGACAAACTAGCTGTCATCCGCGACAATTTCGCACATGCATGCAGGGTGGAAGGGGGCAAGAGCAGCGTTGGAGTAGCCGAGTTGCGTGAGAGGGCGCTATCCTACCCTAATGAAAAAGCCTTCTACTACAGATCACCATGGATGGATGTTAATGGCCCTTTGTAACGGGCGCAGTAGCCTGTGCCACCTAGAATGAGTCTAAAGAGACAAACATGCGATGGTGTGACCAACTTGGGCAGTGTTGCCTGGTCGCCAGATAAAAATGATCGACATTAGTGAACTGATTATTGCAATTACTAATTTACTAGAGCTCTAACAATCGCGAAGCTTTGTGCATATCTAAGTGGCCAATACCACCTAGAAGAGACAAGGCCCGCGCATGACGTTAGTAGATCCCGCCCCAAGCGGCAAACAGCCCTGACGAGAGGAGGGGCGGAGCACGGGAGAAAAGGGATCGCAGCGTGGCGAGCTCGGAGCCTCCGCTAGCAGACCAATTCCCCGCAACGCATTCCTTTTGCCTATTTCCGTGCGAGGTGACCAATGAAATGTCACAGGCTGATTGGAATGTTCATAAATAGGTGCCACCTCACAAGTGAAGGACATTTTCTTCGCATGGGAAAGATGTTAGAGCTTTCAGGTTGCAATTTCGGGGCTCTCCTGAAGAAAACACCCTGTCACAACTTATGTAAGCGAGACAAAACGCGAATGTATCTTTGCATTGTCTTTTGAAAAAAGGGCAATGTACCAAAATTTTAGAACGTAGCTACATTTCAACTTTACTGTTATTATCAGTCAATTTGTTTCGTTGTTGCAGTTCCCATTTCTCCTTGCTTATAACCGTTTTGTCAAATAGACGAAGAGGATGAAGAAGCAAAACAATTTCGAACCACGTACGTTATTGCGATCTCAGTATGCTCTGGAAGAAGTTGATTGTGCACATGCAAATTTGACGCTATCACTGAAATTAATAAAAACGGAGTCACAAAAACAGCAGACTTCTTGCGCGTCCAAAAAAAGAAAAAAACAAGAACAGCGTCGTAGTGCAAAAAAACAACAAAAGGATTGTCAGCGCCCGGGCGACTAACGTCTTCATCGCCTTCTACGCTAAGAGTTGGCACCCTCTGGACCGCCGTCAGCAACTCTTTCCATTTTTCAGTCCACTTTCTTTTTTATTTTTGAGGAGCAGCTTCGACGTGTTCGACATCGCATTCTTTCTTCCTCCTGTTTTTTTTTTCTATTTTTTATTGTGTGTGTGTATGTTTTTGTTTACTTGACGTTCGGACCATCGCGCATTTTGTTTTGCCCTGTTTGGACCTAGTTTTTGCTCTCTTCACTTGGGGGCGCTTCCTACCGCCAGTCCGTCTGCTACGCTGCTCCCGGACATTTTGAGGGCCGTCTGCAACTTTGTTGTTGTTTTCTTCTACTCTCGTCTGCGATAACCTCCTATTTTCGCCTTCGATGGAGTTTCTAATCCAAAATCTACATACATGCTTTTTGGCATTTATTATATATATTAAAAAGTGCAAGCTCATTATACATTTATATTTGAATTTTATTTGTCTACGCCGGAACGTCTGCTATGGGTCATCGTTTGTTGATCAACCGGCCGCCTTCGGGCATACACCAGCGCATACTTGGAGATGGCAGGCATGTCATGTGCGATGTGTTAGAAAATCCTTCTTCCGCTTCCCGAAGCTCGAAAAAACGTGAGTAATTAAGCTGCTGCAACATTAAAATAAAGCTAAAACAAACCACTAAAAAAAATAAAGAGTTTTTTTTTTTTATGCTGCTCCTTTCTATTTTTTTTCTTTTTTCCCTAAGCGCCGCTATGATCGTCGTCGTTGAAGGAGTTTTTTGCTGGGTGATTTGTATCTTTCTATCGTCTGCTAACGTTTTGTTTTATTCGCCGTTGTTTGCTACTTGTTCCACATTTCTCTTTATTTTCGCCTGAGAAGGGGACCCCATCTTTCCTGCAAAGTTTGGAAAGCGTTTGCACGGTCATTTTTTCGCTACTTTTTTTGTTTTTGTCATGCTGCAGCGGCTGGTTCACTTACTCTGGTAATCTTAACATGTTGTTTGTGTACGTTGTAATGATCACCTATTTAGTTAAGAAGCTGTGACAACAAAGTCTGTAATGGATCAACAGTGTAACCTCTAATGACGTAGTTCGAGTAGCTAAACGCCTTTCTTCCGCTTCCCAGATGCACTCCAAACTCTTGTGATCCCCTGAGTGGCGTTTGAGACCTCTAAATAGACTGCTTTATCTTTGTTTATACGTGCGTTGTTATTTGATTGTCATTGCAGTTCCGATCAGTGAATTCCGCTTCGCAAGCAAAGTGACCGTAATGAATTGTTTCAGCTGTTAGTGTTACGAAACGGGGATTGCAAAGCGTCTGCTTACGTAGACTCCGAGTCCTCAAGAGGCGTTCGCCGCTGCGCTCCCGTGGGTTTTCGGAGGAACTACGCCGCATTTTCTGGCCGCCACAGCTAAGTGCACGACTGCTTAGCGCGAGCTAATAGCGAGCTACCACAGTTCACTAGCAACGTGCATGCGACACCATTAAGATTGCCGATCTTAGCAATGTAAGCTCGTTCTGAGCACGACCACTGAAGCAGGCGATGGAGTAGACGATGTAGCAGACGATGGTGCTCATCCGGGCTACCTAGGGGGTGCTGAGGGGATCTACTAGTGATGACGTTTAGAGGAGGAAATGCGCAGGCCTTGTGTTCTAGGTGGTATTGAAGCAGCCTATGAGCATTTCATTTCAAGCATAATCTACCCATTTATTTTTGTGTCTTAACCCTTTAATACAGTTTGCAATACCTAATTGCCGAGTTTAATAACGAATTTAATTTTTATATTACAAAAACCAAATAACGAATTTATCTTTAATCCAAAGTAAATATCTTGAGATGCCCCACCCCGGTAAAGGTAACCCGCCCCCTATGTTTGGCCTGATTTGCTATTTTTTCAAAAACACCAAAAGAGAACCCACTTTTAGTGATTGCAGGTCTTTGCCCAATGATAACCTCGGCAGAAATGGTGCTACTTAACCATGGCGGGAGATATGCGAACACTGCTCACTGGGCAGTCGTCTTTGGTTCGTTGCCCCTCCCTGCAATCGCAAGTTGCGCAGGTCACAAAATCTAAAACCGAGTCTCATTTTTACAGCAGAGCTGTTAAGGGCTAGTTTCCCCAGTATCGTGTCTGCGGGCAAACAATTGTCAGCACAAAACTCTGGACAACTACCGCCACTTATGAGCGACAGTGGAAACCAGACAACCAGCTTGCCGGTTGTCCGATTACCGCCATCGCTCATAGATGGCGGCAACCTTTCGAGCCTTTCCACTCTGGCTTGCCGACTTGTGGCCGTCCATTACTTCATTCCCAGCATAGTACAGCTTCGCTGGTCTTCCTTCTTCACCAGAGTGGAAGGGCTGGAAGTTTTTTCAACTTTTTTCATTGCACACCTAAAGTTAGCATACTCTTTATTTTCAGCCAATTTGCTCTCGATTTTAGGTGAGTAACCTCTTGCGATATTGCAGTAATCATATTCTCACGAAGACGTCCTCCGAAGGATAGCATTTCTCTCTGGAAATTGTGAATTTTCAAACAACAAACAAATACGCTAAAGAGTGATTGGTGCAAAAATTGAAAAAAGAATCGGGGCCCAGGGGCCCAAGATTTTGAGCCCAATGTTCAACCGCTGTGCCGAGAGGCATCAAGCGACGGGTGTTCAATGCTATAGCGTTTCTTTTGCTGCACCGCGAAACGTGCTTCGACTTTTGCTCCTACCACTCAAGGGCTCGTACAGTCGAGGCACCAACGAATGCAAGGAGCTTGTGTCTGCCATTGTGCAAGGATTCCTTTCAACAGAGAGCGAGCCTTCGAAAGTTGTCTAGGAGAGAAGTCATACGCTTGCTCGAACTCGCCAGAATGCCCCGCAAGCGAAAGGAGCGCAGTGACGAGGACATCGCTGGAAAGGAGTAGGGGGCTGCGCGGGACGAGACGGCGGAAAAAAACGCCTAAGGTATAGACATTTTCTGTTTCCCGTCGTTTTCAGTCATATGGGTTCTGTATCTGGTAGGTAAGACGAAAAAATAAAATATTTCAACCCGGAATGTGTGAGAAAACATAGGTGAGACAAAACAAGAATGCGCAACAATCGCACAATTTTCGTAAACACATTCCAGCGGTGTGGAGAGATCAAAACAATGTTGTACCGCACTGACATTCAAGATGGCTGCGCCCTCGCGGAAAAAGTGTAAACTCACGTTCCGCTACGAACGAGTGCCCATCAGCGGACTATGGCCGAAGGGCCGAGCCTTTTTTAAATACCGCGGGCTTTTTTCGGGTTTCGGCGAGATATACGAGGAACAAGGCTCCGTTTCTGTGGTGCTTCGATGCAGGCTGGGTCAAAATGCAATATTATTTGGACCCATCTTGTACGAAGGCCGTATTCCTCCGATCAAAGTGAAATGAAATTAAGGTGGCCGAGCGTGTTAGCGCACTGCAGAAGCCAATCCTTGCTCATTTCCATTTAAACGAGCACTACCGCATGCTGCACCATAAAAAGATCCCAGGCTAGCGGTTGTACTTCTACAGCCGAGTCGCCAGATGCCCATTGGCGTTGCGTAAATGTATGCACGCCCCAATTATTCGTCAATAACTGGGTTCCCTCACTCCCCCTCAGTCCTAGTGGAACGAACCCACCTCGATTCCCTGCCCCGAGCGCCGTTCACTTTTCTCTGGTATCTCAATGGCACGGCAAGCAGATTGAGCCTCGAAGCATCGACGGTTCTGTTCGGCGATGTCCTCGTCGCTCCTTTCTCTTACGAGGCATTCCGAAGAGTTCCCCTTTGACTTCTATCCTAGACAACTTTAGAAGGCATGCCCTCTGTTGGAAGAATCCCCGCACGACGAAGGACGTAAGCTCGCATTCGATTACCCCCCTGCTCCTCGAGTCCTCGTGTGGCGGGAGAAGTAGTCCCAGCTACTTGCTCGCGCCACTTGCACCCTCTGCCGTGTCCTTTTGCGAAAGATGCGTCGATGCATCCAGAAACCGCCGCTTCGACCCTCGACTTGATGGATCGGCGTTGAGCTCGCTGCCTTCGGGTTTCATTTCCCTCGGAGGATGTTCGGAATTTTCCTCTTTCTTCTTGTGCACTCGTCACTGTCCTGTGCATGCGCATTCGTTTTGTCTTACAAATCCCGATTTTCTCGAGGGAGGAAAAGGGAGCGACATGGTGGGAATAGAGAAACGTCTAAGTAAAGGTGTCGACCGGTTAGCCCAGAAACAGTGAGGGGGAGCTTCCAGACACGTAGACAGGATTCTAGGACCCAGAGAAAGATCCGAACCTGTGGCCGGCCAGGGTCGGGGGCAGGCGGGGTTCCTTCCAGTGGACGAAAAGGCTGCCGTTCATCTCGGGCACCACGGCCAGCTGGAGGGGCGCCGGCATCTCGGGGCCCGCAAACTCGGCCGGGGCGCTGAGCAGAGCCCCCGGCCGGTCCGTCGACACCCGCACCGAGTAGGCGCCCCCAGGGTGGACCCCCAGGGTGGCCGACAGCACGGCCGAGGAGGTGGGGGGCACTGCCGTCACCGTCCTCGACCCCGTCTGCTTCTCCTCCACAAAGACCTGCGAGCCGGTCCCCGCCCGAGCATGTTCTTGACCGGACGTTACTTAAAGTGGCCTTCTCAGGCTTGCCCTCATTGGCAAGCCTCCAGCCGTGACAGTCGGCCTAGTTGCTAGGCCTTCCGTTGCAGGACGTACAATACCGTTTCGTTTCAATTAGAGGTGCAAGTTTCGTTACTAAGCAGGTATGTTAAGTTCTGCACTCATATATCACCTTCTTAAATGACATTCCTAGGGACACTCAACTACAGCTCTGCACAGGCCGGGCCAAACCAAAAGAGGCCCGTCCCGGCTCGCGGGCCGGACCTGGGCTGGGTGGCACGGATTGCTCTGGGCCCAGGCCAGGCTCGGGAAATGGTGCAGCATTTCTGAAATGTTGAGAAGAAAATGCTAACACATCGATCATTTAGATTTGAAAGAAATGAAAAAGCCGAAATGAAATATACTAAGACGCCACTAAAAAAATCTTAAAAAGCTGTCTTGGACTAAGAGAGCCCACTAATGGCTTGCATCCCAGCCAGAAGCACCAGCAGTGAAAAAAAATTCAGCACAGCTAGTAGATTTGTCCCGAATGAAAGAAGCTTGAAGCAAGAGGCTCTGGACGATCTCTTGTTTCTACGTAAAAACACATAAATACTAAAAATTTGTAAGCCATCGCGGCTCGAGTTCATACTGGACTGTGTAGAATCTGCGAGTCTTATATGCTAAGGAATGTCTCGAAACTTTCCTACATCTTTTAATTGAGTGCTATTAAAATCTCTACATTGACGTTCACATTTTTATGCCAACACGTAACCTCTCGACAGCTTCTTTTCCATAAATTAGGCTAAATGAATCAAATGCACCAACATCATCCCTAGGCAGCATTAAATTTAAGAGACTAGGCACGGTTCCTGACTGGCAAGCAATCGGCTCGCAAAAGCTGTCGGACGTCGTCATCCCGCTCGTGGAACATAAGAGGAAAGCAGCGCGAGTAATTCGAGCGTCCTTGCGTCGTCCCGACTCCTGGCTGCCCAAGCTTCCTTGTCAAGCTGGACAGCAATCTGCAGTAGAACGGGCCCTTTTCATCACCGCCGCTGCGACGCCGCCAGACTCATGGTCGGCGATAGCGCGACACTCGCACCACGTGTCAACAGGTGAAAATTGACTTTAAAAGGAGACGAGGAATGTGGTGGTCGGAAATGCGCACCTCGGCAGAGCGAGACGGCAGAGCCTCACCTTGTAGCCCGTGGGGCGGGGCAGGCGGGGGCAGGAGGCCTCCCAGCGCACCAGGGCATGGTCCTCTTGCAGCGCGGCGGAGACTGCCCTGGGAGCCGCCACAGGGCTGAACTCCGTCCGGGCCGTCGCGGGCTCGCTCGGCGGGCCTGGCAGGGGCCCCCCAGGGGAAGCCACTGCCACGCGCACCTGCACGCCAAGCGCAGGCTCACTCCTTCCGGCCAGACTCGGGCACCACGAGTGCCGGGGGCGAGCGAATGCTCGTACCATCCACCTCAAACAAAGTTTACCCGACCGCAAATGTTTTTGTGAATCCGCGAAAGAGAACCTTTACGGCCTCGAGTAATCTGTCCCGTCGAGCACGCTCGTTACTTATCGCGAATAATACCGCATCGTTCCCGGTCGACCTCGACCCCGCTTTCTAGATAATTAAAGCCGATTTCCTAAAACCCCGGAGAAATTGCCCGTCTCTACAAAAGTCCAGACTGTGGACCTTGCAATCTGCAACAACAATCTGCGACAGAAAAAAACGAAGGAGGTAACAAATTAGTGGACGATTGTTGCGCGTGACTCTCACTCGGTGGTCATGTCGACTCACTCGCATTGCAGTGTCACGTGACATCGCGTGACATCACCAGATGTCAGTTTCGAGTGACAATGATATTGTGGCGTCATCCAAGTTATGTGGTCGATAAAGAGTTACATAATCACATGACACTGAAGTTGAGTTATCTGGTATTGTCACAACGGTACGTCGCACGATCATATAACCCACAGCTGCACCATCCATCTGACCATGTGCCCCATAGTGGCGCCAATCGCAGCATCAATCGAGTCATCCACACGCGTCCTTACGCGCCACTGCACTGCTCCGCGACAGCGTGTGAGTACACCTGCCGAAGATGCTTCGAGCCCACTTATGGAAGGCGGCAGTTTCTTTTCTGTTCGTTGGCCTGCAAGTGCAGACTTCGTGCAAATGTGTTTCAATCCTAACAAAAAATGTTACTGGCATGTTCATTCTAGCAAATGCGATAAAATGTGGTAGCTTTACAGGAACCTAGTTAGTAAAAACAATTAGGAAAGGAAAGGAAAAGGATAAGATGTCCTTAGTAAGTGTGAGACGTAGAAGACAATAAAAAAGCTGACCAAAAAATGAAGTCGCTACATCTTTCTTCACAAGGATAAGATGGTTGTAATGTGCCGTGCACACATCGAAGACAATCTCAAGAACGATGTCAATGACGACGTCAAGGACTGCGTTTAGAACGACCTCTACAACAACCTGTAGGACGACCTTGAAGATGACATCAAGGACGTCAGCCTCAGTACCGACGCTTATGCAACCGGCACATCCGCGAACAGAGCTCACGCAACTGGCACTTACATGACTTTATGTACGCAACCTTGCACTTCAGCCACGGGCATTACGTAACCTTGATTAAGCGACCTTGAGGACATGACCTTCAGGACATGACCTTGTGGACAAGGACATGGCTTTGAGTGTGGTTGGGCCTAGGAAGCGACCACTTTAAAATAAATTTAGGTTATATGCTTTGGTCATGCCTCACGCACCGGCCATGCTTCGGCTTCGGACATGAGTGGGCGAGGCAGCTTTTCAACCATGCGGACGTCGTCTAATCCTGTCGTTTTCATACTGCAGATCTTCGCCTTGTTCACGCTGTCAGTGAACTATACCGGCCCGCCTGGATTACAGGGATACAAGCAACACCAGCAAACGCAGATTGTGTCCGCCCCCAGTGAAGTCGGTGGACATTCCGTGCCTCACCAAGAATTTCTTCTGGTTTCGCCTACGTTTCATCGTGCCACCGGATCGACATCGTCATCATCGGAATCTTCACAAACCGCCCCCCTGCTTGGCGCGGAATTCGTCAGTGGGCGAGGCAGCTTTTCAACCATGCGGACGTCGTCTAATCCTGTCGTTTTCATACTGCAGATCTTCGCCTTGTTCACGCTGTCAGTGAACTATACCGGCCCGCCTGGATTACAGGGATACAAGCAACACCAGCAAACGCAGATTGTGTCCGCCCCCAGTGAAGTCGGTGGACATTCCGTGCCTCACCAAGAATTTCTTCTGGTTTCGCCTACGTTTCATCGTGCCACCGGATCGACATCGTCATCATCGGAATCTTCACAAACCGCCCCCCTGCTTGGCGCGGAATTCGTCAGTGGGCGAGGCAGCTTTTCAACCATGCGGACGTCGTCTAATCCTGTCGTTTTCATACTGCAGGTGGGTAGTCGTAATTACTATTCGAAAGTGAAAAGCGACTATTTGTGTCTCGTAGTGCTGCCTCGCCCGGAAGCATTGTGTCTTTGTGTTTCCGACTGTGTTGATGCATTGTGTTCTTTGATTCTTCTTTTGAGCGGGGATATTGAGTCCAACCCGGGACCTAGGACTGAGAGCCAAGGCAAGCAGCTTGACGAAATGCTGAAGCTTCTTCATGAAGTGAATGCTCGTACCCTTAAGTTTGAGGAGGGCCAGAATGGTCTTATGGCATCCGTTAACGAGATAAAAAGCAACCAACAATCGATTGAAAAACAACTCGTTGAAGTAAACAATAGACTAACTGTGGTTGAAAACAAGGCCTTAATGTCCGACGAGTGGCAGAATGAACTGCGGGTAGCACAGCTGATCGCCAATGACACAAAGAAAGAAAATACGCTCCTACGCGCCCGAGTGGATGAAATGGAGGACAGGTCGAGACGGGACAACTTAATTTTCCATGGAATCGTTGACACTCCATCTGAGACATGGGCCCTCTCCCAAGAGAAAGTACGGGAGGTGCTCCATCGGGAAGCTAACATGCAGATTGCTGAAGACGGCATAGCTCGGGCTCATAGACTCGGCGCCTTTGTCGCGGGAAAATGTCGCCCAATAGTCGTTAAGTTTGCGTCTTACAAGCTTCGAGAAAACGTGCTGGTGGGTAGATCAAAATTAAAGGGCAGCAGTGTGTCTGTCAGCGAGGACTTTTCGCCAGCTACGCGTCACGCGCGAAAGGTTTTGATTGAATTTGCGAAGGCGAGAAGCCCGGACAAGTACTTTAGCTTACGGTACAATAAACTTCACCTTGATAAAAAGATTTTTATGTACTGCTCAGACAGTGACAATGTGATTGAAGTTGGTGATCGTTTTGTACCACGCCGCGCAAATCCTGATAATAGCGCGGCTGCTGAGTCAGTGCCTTCTGCTAGCTCCTCGTAGCAACCCATAAATAAGCAAAGTCGGCAAAGGCCTTGTCAATCATTTGCTAATCTTTCAATGTTTTTCGCCAATGTAAGAAGTGTCATGAACAAGCGTGATGAATTGTGTGCGATTATTGACTCTTCATCATCTGATATCGTAGTACTAACAGAAACTTGGCTTTCGTCTCGAATCCGTGACAGTGAAATATTTGCCTGCGAAAAAAAGTTTAATATCTATCGATACGACAGGGAGTATAGATCAGGGGGAGGAGTATTGATTGGAATTAACGAGACAATTGAATCATTTTATGTAAATATTGTAACTGAGCTTGAGTTTATCTGTGTTTGCTTCCACGCGGGAAATAGGCGAATTGTACTTTGTGCTTGTTATAGACCACCTAACTGTTCCACTGGCTTTGTCAATGACTTACATGATGCGCTAAATATGGTTACTGCAAGATTCCCAGATTCTCCGATATTTTTATTAGGCGATTTTAATTATCCGAATATTGATTGGTCAGATACGTGCCCTTCTCTCAGTTGTCATTCCTCTGAGTGTTCCAATTTCTTAAGCTTGTGTGCTGATTTCAATCTTTTACAACTCGTCACTGAACCCACACGAGTCGCAGCTACGTCAGCCAATATCCTTGATCTTGTTTTAACTAATACGCCGGATCTTGTTTCTTTAGTGTCTCATTTACCAGGTGTCAGTGATCATAGTTCATTATACATATCTCTGACGGTTCCTAAGCACAACTCCTCTAAAGTGACTAAATGCATTCGCGACTATAGCAAAGCGAACTTTGAAGCTATTAATGACCACTTAGCCCTTTTTCTAGATGTATTTATAATTAACTTTTCTGAACGCACCATTCAGGAAAACTGGACCCTGTTTAAGAATCAAGTGGCGCTGCTCACGGATAAATTCATTCCTCTCCGTTCGATAAGATCATACACTCATTCACCCTGGTTTAATGTGACACTAAAAAGGCTTTCTAATAAAAAGAAAAGATTGTTTCGCTCTGCAAATGAAACAGGCTGTTCAAAACGTTGGGAGACTTATCAGAACGCGTATGAGGCTTACAAATCTGCTATTCACGATGCGAAGCTTGTGTATTTTAATCAGACTTTGCCGAATATGTTGTCTACTAATCCTAAGCAGTTCTGGAACATTATTGGTGATAACAATTCGAACGAAATCTCAATCAGGGTGGATGATTCTGTTATACCTAGTGAAGACTGTGCTGAAATTTTAAACGCGGCTTTTGTTAAATCTTTTTCCAGTGCATGTAACATGTTACCTTTTTCATTACCTCAGTGCAGCTTCATGCCTATGGAACATTTCGAAATTGATCCCATTGGCATTGTTCGAATAATCGATAATCTTAAACTATCATCCAGTGCTGGTGTCGATAATATTAACTCCAAATTTTTAAAAAACACAAGTGTATATTCTTCCATCATACTGTCAAAAATATTCACCCAATCGCTAGATCTCGGAGTCCTCCCAGACGATTGGAAAGTTGGGAAGGTGGTTCCATTGCACAAAGGAGGTGATAAACATTCCCCTAACAACTATAGACCAATTTCTCTCACTAGCATACCATGTAAGATACTTGAACATGTCATTTATTCTCAGCTTGTTAATTTTTTGGAGTCTAACATGTTTTTCAACGCCTCTCAACATGGATTCCGAAAATCATTTTCCTGCGAGACCCAGCTTTTATTATTTACTAACGACTTGCATTCTGTTCTTGATAGAGGGTCCCAGATCGACTGCGTATTTTTGGATTTCTCGAAGGCGTTCGATAAAGTCTCACACGAGTTGCTTTTGTTGAAACTAAATAACCTTCGCATTGATGCTAACGTTATGGCTTGGGTCCAGTGCTTTCTTACTAACCGATTCCAGTTTGTTACGGCAAATAACCATACATCTCCTCTCGCGTCAGTGACCTCCGGCGTGCCTCAGGGTTCTGTACTAGGCCCAC